ATACATAGATACATAGATACATAGATACATATACATATATATATATATATATATATATATATATATATATATATATATATATATATATATATATATATATATATATATATATATATATATATATATATATATATATATATATAGGAAAACCTATTTTCAAACAGCTAATTTTACCAAACATTTTTAACGATCAACCAATTCATTCTGCCAGTCAAACCAGCTAAACTAAACAGCCATTCACAACAGTTGGCACAAACTGTCAACAGCCAACAGCTGACAGCCAACATCCAAACAAAGCCCATATATATGATGGAGTCGCTCAACAGCTTTGTGGTGGGCCGCACCTCCACGGCATCAATGCCGACCATTCCCCCTCATCTACTCCTCTAACCAATCATGCATTTTCTCTTCTTTCTTTTCGATCTCTCTTTTAACACCATTTTCGTTGTACAAATATTTATGAATTATAATATTTGTATTCCAAAATGTAGTATCTCTTTTCATATTCCAAAATTATGTACCAACATTTTATATTAGGGTAATAATAGTGTAATTGTCTGTAATAATAAAAAATGTCAATGTAATTTTTTTGATTGAACTGACGTATTTTCTGCGTTTATCATTAGAATTATTAAGTTAAATAATAATTATATCCATTTAAACTATAATTTTTATTGAAAAAATATATATCTTTGACTTAAATAATATTCATATAACACATATTATGTCACTATTAAAAAATTAAATAAATAATAATATATTTAAAAATGTCAAAATTTTAAAATGTATACGGCTCCGAGTAAAGCAGAGATTGAAACAAGTTATAGGTATAGGGAGAGAGAGCATGAGAAAAGGTAGCCTGCAGGTAGTTAGGAGCCTCGTTGGGAAGGGAGAGGGAGACCAGAGATGAAAGAAGAGAATAAGGCTAAAGACTCGGCGGGTTTGAAAGTGGGGACGTCATGCCCTGCTCCTCTCACCGTCGCAAATGTTAGCCCTTCATACTCTTGCACCCATCCACCCACCTGCATGCATATTTCCCATCAAACAAATTCTCTACTTCAGCTCAAAATCTTACTAATCCTAGCCTTATTATCTCTTAAATGA